AGAAAACATTCCCGAAATGTTATAACAGTCGATTGAGAATTTTTATACATCATTACATCGTTTCTACCTAATATTGTGACACTTAAATTTGTGTATGGTACATTCATTGATGCAAGAATAATTATACTTTAAATATGTATGTATAATCGTGTTAGATTGTAGGTGGCTTTCCACCCACACAAAAGTTGCTCATTATTCCTATGCTTTTTGGAAATTTTGCAGAGTGTGGAGGGGATCAGGATTTATGATTGAGAATAGTTTGGAGGGGACCAAATGATGAAATCCATTGCGTCTTAAGAAGTCCAAGTTTCACAAGCTCCTAACGCTATTTGGAGTCGGATTTTGGGGTGTGCAAAATATGAGTACCGGGCCTAATATTTATTTTGACCTAGCTACTACAAAAATATATATACAATTAATCATGAAATTTATCAGTTTTTTTTCAAATCACTTTTCTTTTCTAATAATTAGGACCTAATTAATTGAGCATGCTACATGACAAAACCGTTCTGTTTCCCCAACGACGAGATGATGTCAAATCCTGAATCTGTAAAGATAACTTAAACCTATAGCAGCCCAGCAGGTAGCCATTAGCTAGTAGTTTCAAGATTTTTATTTTTTTTTAAATTCGGTTTGTTTAGCCTTTGGAGATAATAGGTTGGTGGGATTCTTATAGTTTGGTTTTAAAGATTGCGCTTATACTTTTGGTAAGGCCTTATTTATTTACCAGAACGGGGTCACAAAAACCAACTTTGACGCTGTTTGAAAGAAAACAAATCAGTTTTAAGAAAATTATGCGTGTAGTGGCACCGAGTCGTCACAAACATTATATTAAATTTATATTATAATGAAGTTAGAATTTCGAGATTATATTTGGAATTGTTAAAATTCCCTAGCTAGGGGGGACCAAATGATGAAAGGTGGAAGAAATTAAAGAATGGGAACCACAAAATGGGCATGTGAGTTTTATCTGAATGTTGCTTGGTTAGGGTCCAAAGGAAATGCAAGTGTGGGTTTGGTTCAACGCTCTTTGCCATCTGCCCTAACAATGCAACATGGGAGGGCCTATGTACTACTTACGTAGGACTGGTAGAGAGAGAGATGAGAGAAGAGGAGGGAGGGGGGGACACAAGTTTGGTTGAAAGGGTAGTTGCCATTTATTAAGGTGGTCGTATTTTGCAGGCTAGGTAGGCCACCGCAAGTGCCCCACATGATCGTCCGAGGAGGGGGCATATCAGATTATGGGTATCTCCGACGTCTGCCATGTGCATTTCTGTGGTTTGTTTACGATGTCGGCCCTCCCTCTAGGGTCCCATAATGAGGTGACCATTTTTTTTTCATATATACAACTTTGATGTTTACCCACGAGTTCTCACTAGGGTAAGATTGATCTAGATTTAATTCATATTGTGTATTCTTAAAATTTGACTCTTATACTTAGTAGAAAGTCTATTCCTTCACAATAATTGATAAATACAAAGAATTAATCTTTTCGGAGCAATCTCAACCAAATCAGTCAAACAGTTGATTTTGTAATTACAAGGTTCCAAGTTCAACTCAAGTGACATTGTTATTGGACGAAGACTGGTAAAGGGCCAAGTTGAGCACCATGTGACTAAGGGATTGTTGGGTGGAGGCCTGTAAATTAAAGGGTCAAATCTAGCACCCTGACTCTCGCAAATGTGTGGCGGTATAAAGAAATAAAATTGGGTCTTCGCTACTATTGACTTATTGAGTATAGCTTTTGGCGTAGTGATAAATGTTTGATCTTAAAAAGTGGTATAACTTTTGGAGTAGTGGTAATACACTAATACTAATCAGGAATAAAGAAATAAAATGTAATGCTTTTATATTTTTATGTAAAAGTATTACATTTTCTCTTATAAGTAATGTTGACAAGTGTTTGTTACTTATAAGAAAAAATGTAATATTTTTAAATCAAAATGTAAAAGTATTACATTTTTCTTCAAAATATTACGCTTTTTCATATAAGTAATAAACATTTTATTCTTGATTAATATTACACTTTTCAGTATAAGTATTACATTTTCATCCTAATCTGACTTGTATGTATCACGTACAGACAAGAATCCGTGATACAGTCTCACATACTATACATTTTTGCCATATATAAAAGGTTGATCATCTAACTTTACAGTTGCTTTAAATTAGTGTCACGTTTACCAAATGTTTCAAGCTGTTAGGTGGGTGAGGTGAAGAATTTTAGAGGTCCAATTCAAGTCCTCCATGCATCTATACCACGTATAGCATGCTTGTATTCATACAAGGTGTCCTTTCATTTAAGGGCGTGTCACGTGCATTTTCAACCTTAGGTTTGGGAAATGGCCCTCCGCCAGGGCAGGGACTGATAATATATATGGTAGTTGGTGTATACAATAATGTATTTCACCATATATTATCATATTTAATTTGGCTCATATGGAGAAATTTTTCCATAATTCAATTCGGGTGTGATTTGATTAGCATACTGCATACACACGGTGTGGTCTATATATCCCCCAATTTAATTAGTAAAATTCGTTTTGTAATCCTAACCGACAAAGAATTACAAAGAAATAAACTAATTTAGATTGCTCATAATTGAACGGCTCAAATCGAGAATGTCAATATAGGTACCTTTCACAAGGAGTCGAACCACCACTTATCTTTAATTGATTTATGAAAAAACTCGTAGACGCTGCCCAAAGGTATGCTATGGGTAAAGACCACCTTATGGTCCTAGCCGACAAAGGACCATAAGAGGTAAACTAGTCTAGGTTACACATAAGTTACCAATCCAAACTAAGAAGGCCAATAAACAATTCTCATGAAAAGTCAAATTTAGAACATTGAAATTACTATGCCATTACCTAACCAACTTAGTTGGGATCGTCTTCCTCCATCACTTATCTTGATTCTATTAGAAAAGGAAAATGAAATTATTAAAAAAATGCTTACTTTTTTTGTTTAGAATGTGTCATGTCAATTAAGAATTTAAAAAATCGGGTAAAAAGTAAAAGTATAATATTTTTCATATATAAAAGTATAGTATTATTATTCATCTCATATTTGCCTCCTCAATCATTCACTTTCGGGTTCTATTTTTTGGAATTGACTTAAGAGCTAATATCATAAATGGTCTTTTAATTATTTCAAAATATTATAATTCGTCATTGACTTTTAATTAAACCAATTAAATTATGTATTTAACAATACATTTGTTATTTGACAGAGAACAACTATGTTTGGCAAATTTACCTAAAAACTGAAAAGTGTCTAGAAGTTGAAAACTGAAGAAATGGTAAGCTAGCTAATTATGCTTAAAAGTATTTAGTAAAATTAATTTTTGGAATAAGGGTCAAATAGGCCATCGAACTGCACCCGATAAAACAATTAGGCCACTGAACTTAAAAAACCAACAATTAGGTCCCTAAACTAATCAATTTTTTCAATTTGAAGGTTTCCAACAGGTCATCCTTCCAAATTAATTATTTTTTACAATTTAAATTTTAAAAATTAATTAATTTTAAATTAAACTAAAAAAAAACTAAAACTAAAAAAAAAAAAAAAAAAAAAAAAAAAAAAAAAAAAAACTGGTACAGTCTCCGGCTGGATTCTTTTTTTTTTTTTTTTTTAAATTTTTAATTTTTTTTATTTAGTTTAATTTAAAACTAATTAATTTTTAAAATTTATTTTTTTAAAAAAATAATTAATTTGGGAGATGACATGTTGGAAACTTTCAAATTGGAATAATTGTTTGAAATTGATTAGTTTAGGGACCTAATTGTTGGTTTTTTAGGTTCAGTGGCCTAATTGTTTTATTGTGTGCAGTTCGATGGCGTATTTGACCCTTATTCCTTAATTTTTTGATAAGTTGATAAATGTAAAAATACTAAAAATGACATTTTCATAAAATTTAAATAGTTTTAAATTTAAATAAGTTTTTTTACATATTAAAATTTAACATTCTAAAATAAAATTATTAGCATAATCATGATTTAACATCTCATAATGAAGTAACAATATTGTTGCAAATCTCTTTTATCTTAATAGAGGTCTCATTTAAATTTTCGTTGATGGAGATATTACTACTTGAATCTTGAAGTTACTGGGCGGTATGTAATCTGGATGCGGCCCAAACACATTAAATACAATGTCATCTTGCGAATTCTTTCGAATATAATTATTTAGTGCAAATGTGACCATAATAACATCAAGTTGGGTCTCCACACAAAAATGTGGTATTTTAACAAATACTTTGTATCTTCTATCTCTTCTTCAATACTACAAACGACATTCAATACAACTTCGAAGAAAAGAATATATATGCATGCTTGAAGAATTTTATAAAACATTATAGAACTCATATGATTGTATAGAATTGGAAGGAGGATTTTAGAACTATAATCGTAGTCATACAATCAAGTAGATCTCCACCGTCCATTGAGGAGTTGAAATAAGTATAAATAATCTCATAAAACTTATTTTGTAACCATCCAAGTGACCCCTATTTAAATAAAGATGAAGGGCAATGCTTGGCGGTAGAGGAATTGCGGAACTAAGATGAATAAAAAATAAGAGAATAGAAAATATCAAAAAAAAAATTTACCAAAAAGTTTATTTTTTGTATGCTATTTCACCTCTACTGAGGCTTGAACTCATAACCTTTCAAATGAAAATTCAATTCAAATACCATTATACCACATAGTCCTGATATCAAAAAATTTATAGTTTATTAATAACTTAAAATAAATTATAAACTCTTAAATACACCTTGTCAAACAAACTCAACGTCTCAGGATTGGGTAGATGATATTCGTGACCTCCAATGAGGGTCAAACTTTGGCTTTGAACATTCAACATGGTAGAGAAATTAGAATGATTTTAATATGAAAAGTAAAAATTATTGCACCGGTAACAACTATAAAAATTTAGCACAAAATGCCTTCAAACTTAATCAGAGATCTGAAACATATAATAGTATTTGTAGCTCAAAATCCATTTTATCATTTAGTCAGGGTTTTTCCATTTTTTTCATTATAACAATACAATTCACCTTGATTTACGAAAAATTCACAACCATTATGCAAAACATGCACTTTGAGTGAAGCCCGCCTTAAACACAATACAATAATATGATACCTTCTGACATAAACATACACAATAACACAACAATCAATGTACACATCACATGAACCCAAAGAATTTTGTTGCAGATACTTGACTAAGAAAGATGGTTGTATGGTCTCAGAGGGGGTGTCTTTCATGAATAAATGAGATTGGAACGTGCAGTGCATGTGAAGACACGATGTCTGTTTATTTCTATCTCCAAAAGTTTCTTGTGGATCACAGCAGCAGAAGAAGAAGACTCATCAGCAAATGCTTAGAAGAAACCAGGCAGTTATCTGCCATTTTCAGTGTAAAAAGAACTCCACTGTCCACACAGAGACAAAGACAGACCAGAAATAAATAACTCAAATAAGGTAGAAGAAACAACCTCTCAGAGAAGCTTTCCACAAAACCCATTTTGATCAAACAGACCAGCAGCCAGCCACACAATGGTATTCAGCACCCAAAAATTGCCAATATCCATGCATTAACTCGAGAACATGCTGGGTTGGGATCAATCCAAGAAATCAACTTCGCTTTCCTGCATGTCAATGTCTCATTAAATATTAGAGTTGGGAGGGAAGAAAAGGGGCGGGGGTGGACGTTTTGGGGATATAGACAGCATTCCAGTAAGGGGATAATCAAGTACACTAGCACACAAGTCATAATCGAAAGAAGATAATCGAAAGAAGTAGGATAATGGAATAGGTTATGACGAGAGTGCTCACCTCACCTCACCTTTAGGAGTAGCCATGGGATGAATGGTAGTCTGGGAACCTTCTTGCTAGACTTGAATTAATGAAATAATGGAAATGGATTGGAGTTGAGAAAAGAGAAAGACTAATGGCACAACAGGAAACAATGTCCAGACATTGTTGGAACTACTGAGAACCTAGGACTCCTCAAATTGAATGGAAACATTAAAAAAAAAAAACAAGTTCCAAACAAAAAAATTTGAAGAATAGTGATGTTAAAAACGGTGTCAGTCTATGAACAATTTGATAAATAGGGTTGGGAGCGTCGCTCAAGAGAGCAACTCAAGAGCAGAATGTACTACTGCTGCTTTCACTTGGTGATATGGAAGGGGCTTCGCTCTTCACAATATGAGAGCCTCTGCTACTGATATCGAGACCCTGAAAGCGACCCAGAGGATCCTGCTGCACTGTGTCTGCAAGCATGGGGTGATGTGGAGTAGAAGTGCTTGGCTGGAGTGCATGAAACTGCGGGATCTGAATATTTTGGGAGTCACTTGGCCCCGACGGTGGCTGATGTGAGAAGAAGGCTGATTGATTATAAGGAATATGTTGCATTCCCAAGCTGTAAGCATCAGAAGGGGCTGCTATTTCGCCGGTAGCGATTCTGAGTCTCTCAACTTCGTTCTTTAGCGCTTCATTCAAAGCTGTATTTTCAGAAAAGATGCCAAAGATCAACACACTAATAATATCTTTTCATCACTCCTCTAAAGAAAGGATTTTTTTTCCCCTTTTCTTTGGACTAAGAGAGATTGGGTGCATTTGTGCTTTCCTCTCATCTAAATACAAGTTTTGCTCTCCAGTTTACTTACTCTCCCATTTTCTTTCCCCCATCCAAACACAGAATAGACCATTACTCAAGTATATGCCAGGAAAGAGGTGAAAATCGAGGTTATGTTGGATACATACCATCACGCAATTGAGCTTGTTGTTCCATGGCTTGCAAACGAAGTTTAAGCTCAGTATTTTCGTTACTAAGCCCTGTCGTATCCCTCTGTAGAAGAAAGAAGAGTCAGTTAACATTTGCATCCCGGTGGCTCCGCTATGTCATATGGAGGACAGACACATACACTAAACACCGAGATTGGCATAGGACACAACTCGTTAAATTTGCAGTACAGCAATAATAACATGAATGGGAACGAAAACAACTTTTGTACACGATTTGCTTTCGTGCATTCTAGAGGAACCCTTTTTCAAATATCAAACAACCCAGAACTGAGCATATTCTTCTCGAAGTAGAGCCTTCAAGTAAATATGGACTATGGAGTATTAACTCAGCATAGTAAGACGTAGAGATTGGAGAATCATAAGTACATTTCTTCAGATCCATGGATACTGCAACAAACCTGGAACAGGGTAAGCTGTGCGGAAAGTGTGGTTGCTTCTGTCTGAAGGGTCTGCACTTTTCTCTCGAGTTCTGATATGTAGCGCGCCTTCCTCTCTTTCGATCGAGCAGCTGATTGGCGATTTGCCAGAATTCTGTGCACCATTATCAACAATCAGCCAATTATAGATTTAGAGAAAGGTATTCTTTCTTTTTTTTTTAGCATGCCATGTATGCATACAACACCGAAAGTGGCAAGACAAAGAACGATATAAAACCAGATAAACCAAGTTTAAGTGATCTTGCACAAACCACCCGACAATAGAAAAAGAAGAAGAATTGCAAGTTCACAAACAGCAAGTAGATTGAATTCAAGATGCTCCGGCTAGAAAAACTAAGTAACTAAACTTGGTAAAGAAACCACAATAATTAACGAATAAATCAGATAGCAGAAATCAGCCAGGCATATCCACCTCGTCAGTTGAAAATAATGAGATCCTACTGAAATTTAACATTGAATTAAAAAGTTCATAAACCTTAAGCTACTTTTTTCAAGAAATATGTTATCTTAGAGAAACTATGATGACATCCATAATGGATCAAACATTTATGTTTAAGGTGCAACGTATAGGCAAGATGTACCAAATGTCACAGAATTCTTTTACATCAAGATCCAGAGATAACATCGATGGCTAAAATATACTCTATATAAGACTCCTCTTAAAAACTTTCCTAAGGAAACAAAACATAAACAGACCCCTACTGGTCATGAGCTTTGTATTTCATTTAAAACTAATGAAATTAAGATTTTCATATCAAAACATAGTTTTCTCATGTTTCTTTATGTGATTCATATGATCACATCTGATATTGTTGATGCTTGCTGGTTACGAGATAATATCTAGTGAGCTAAATGAGGATTTGTACTTTATAGCTAGATACTTGTGCATCTTTGATGTAACATGATATTTCATTTACCCCTCAACCATCTACAGCTGTATCTGTCACTTCACCCCTCTATTACCCGAATTCCATTAAATTTTGGTTTCTTTCGGTTGAGTAAAATATATAAAATATAAATGTGTAGTCCAACTATTAGCTTAGGACAAAACTAGTGCTACCGAATAAAAAGATTGTGCACGTGTTGCTTGTAACCCATCAAAAAAGTGTTCACTCACAAATGCAAGGGGGCATGTTGAACAAAATACAATATAATATATAGATGTGTAGTCCATCCATCAATTTAAACTTTTAGTTGAAACATAACACATCTTTTAATTAAATCCACATCAACACGTAGAAGTAATATGCAGGAAAGAACATTCACAATTTATTAGGAAAATAGGAAGTAAGGCATTACATTAAAATCCAATGACATAGTTTTTTGCATTTTAGTGCTCGTTATAGAAATAGTGAAATACTCCAATAAGTAATTCATTTTATCTTTGAAATAACAAAAGATTACGTTATCTACATCCCTAGAATAGTCTCTCACTAATAATAATACCAAAATTAACAATTAACTTTATTAAAAGGAAATTGGGCCCCAATAGGTTGATGGTGTCAAATTTGTATTTGCAATCCTTGCAATGCACCTAGATTAAAAAAGATTGGAGACAAAAAGTTGGCTTAATAACCATAAGGTTCCAAGTTCAACTCCCTATAAAATCGATTTATTTGCCTTCTTAGTTTAAACCGATTAACTATGAAAAAACTAAGATGGTTTACCTCAATCGTTATGCTGCGGAACCGTGTCCACCTTGCAAGGTGGACACGGTTCTACGTTCATAATTACTGAAATATATGTTCATAATTATAAAGTTGTATTTTCATAATTTTTGAACTTCATATTCATAATTATTAAACTCTATATTCACAATTACAGAACTTTGTGTTCATAATTATTGAACTATATGTTCATAATTATAAAGTTATATATTCATAATTTTTGAACTTCATATTCACAATTATTGAATCTCTATATTCATAATCTATATTCATAATTACATAACAATATGTTCATAATTATGTTCACAACTCTATGCCCATACTTATAGAACTATATGTTCATAATTTTTGAACTATATATTCATAATTATGAACAGTTTTGGAACCGCTCCACAACATAATTTGCCGATTTACTTGCTTGTGGTCATTTGTCGGTTATAGTCACAAAGAGAGTTTCACCCAGAATGCACATCCGATTAGAGGTTGAGGCCTGAGGGCCTTCTCAGGTATTCAAGATATCCTATTAGATTACGGATAATACATGTACTCCCATTCTATACTTCCGACTTTTACTCCCACATTTAAAATAGTGATGTAGACACTTTCACAAAGGCCCACATGAAGAAAATAACCTATCATAGTCTGCCACGTTAGGAAGTAAATTTGAAGGAATAAAATTTGGGAGTACATGTAGTAGAACTCTTTGATTATATACCTTTCATTTATATCCCTATTTTGTAGTTGTGTAGGTCAATTTTAACTAATAAATGAAAAATAAAAATAAAGTGACATGACTTGGTATCTTTCAATACATAATCCTTTTTAACTTTGAAACAGGGGAGGGGAACTAAGAAAGGAAATACGTAACAAAGAAGAAAGTTTGGGCTTTTAAGGCTTAAAGAATAATGTCAAAGTCATTGGAGGTTACAGTCATAAGTTGACTCGATCAACCCCAAGAAACAAAAAGATCTAAATCCAAGATCTTCTCTAAAAATCATAAATTCTTCGAAAATTTCGCACAACTTTCTGAATTCTCACTAAATCCTATCCAAATTCATAAACATATATATCAATTTAGCAATTCAAATCACCAATGCAGTAAGAAAAAAAGCTGTAATTAGGTAAAGCTGCTTCTACCTTTTAGCTCGCTTGGGATCAATGGTCCAAAGCTCCGCAAGTTTATCAGGCGCCATAGCTTTCTTAGCTTCAATCGTGCTCTCGCTAAGCAGCAAGCTGGAGCTATCCACCGAGTTGCTATAGCGGTGGCGCGGCCGGCCGAGGCTCTTCTCTCCATCGCCGCCGCTATCCGTCGCTACACTGTCGGGTCCGCCGCCGCCGCCGAGCTTCTCGATGTCCATGTAGGTGGAGAAGAGATCGTCCTCGGATCCCATCTCCTCGAAGCTCCCGGCCGGCGCCGCATCGAAGGGGTCCGACGCCAGATCCAGATCCTCCGGCAGCCGGAAGTTCACCTCCGAGTGAGCCCTCCGGTGGTGAGATGGCCTCAATGCGGATGGAAACGCCGGCGGTTGGCTCATCATCATCGGCTTCGAATTGGCTGGATCTTGCATTTGATGAGATAATGGATTTGTAGATAAGGCTTTGTTTCAGAGATCAGAAGGTATGAAGTATGGAGTTGGAAATAGGAATTGCAGGCTGAAGAAGATGAAAGAATGGCCGTTTAGCTTACTACAAAGAGCTTGTAAGATTATATTAATAAGAGATGGAGTTCTATTATATTTTATTCATTATCAATTTTAGAAATAATTAATTGCTCTTTATATTTGGTAGTGTGACGAGAGAAACTTAGAGTTACTATTTGAATGTATGTGTTAGGTGTCGGGCCTGGTTGACTGAGTTTAGTCATTATTCAATTCAAGAGGGTGTCTTTGTGACTTATTATGGAAGAATGTGATTAAATAGTTAATATCCACATACTTATCACCAATTGATTTTAAGTAGTATATGACAATCAAATAGCAAAAGAACTCTGTGATTAAGCGTCAAGCAACGTTAAGTAAGCACAATGCAGCACTGAGGTCCAACAGTACGTACTCGCCTACTAGATACTTCTTGTATAATAATACACAAATCAAGTAAAATGAGTAAATTACACTAGAAATATCACGTGTGACGGGCTCAATCTAGAAGATACTAGAAAAAATAGAATAGTAACATTTAAGTACTAAAATCATGTTATATGCCTATATGAACAATAATTTCTCAAAATAGACACACTTTTAAGTAATGTCCTCCCACGAGAGTTTTTGCAATGGTAACAAAATGTCTTAAATCGTTGCAAATCACTTACATGATGGAGAAATTCAGAATGAAGGAAGTTAGCAACCTATTTATGCTCGTGTAACATAGTGGACTCGAATTTCTCATTGCTTATCTAGCTCATGTTTGTATGTCTCAAGCAATTCGACGAACTAATGAACTATGAGAAATTTAACTTTTTGTTAAATATTTAACAATCAAAATTAAATCAAATTCTACCAAATGTTGCTCAATGACCCTTTGCGCAAGCAATCTAAACCTCTTTAAAGATCATCCAACTCTCTACCTCCAAATCACTACAAATCTACAATAACCAATATGAGGATTAAAAAAGATATTAGAATAATTTGATAGTATAAATAATATGTTTTCAATAGACTAATTTTTGATATACTAAAAATGATGAATATATTATATTTTAATGGTTAAGGTTTTTTACTTGTTAGTTATGCATAAGTAATTTTTACATTATGTTTGTTTTATTTGTCGAAACATAAATTTGTAAATGTTAGATGATCCGTTTTTATAATACAATTAACTATGACAAATTAAATTTGAGTTAATACCCAAAATCGTCCTCGACTATAGTGGTTTTTCTCAATTTCGTTCTAAACGGCTTTGGTGACCTAATATCGCCCTAGACTTTTGTGTTTCGCTCAATTTAGTCCTAGACTTTTGTGTTTTTGTTCAATTTAGTCCCTCATTTGTTATTCTGTCCATTTGGTGTTAAATAAATAGACAATTCAGTAATTTTAATATTGGCATCTCTTTACTCATAGACATATGAAGTGCGAAATCCTTTTTTTTTACGAATTACTCTCAGAATTACTCCTAAAACTGCGAATATAAAATTTGATTTGCAGGTCCGGGGGTAATTCTGGGTGTAATTCGTACAAGAAAGAGGAATTTCGCACTTTACAAGTTGAAAGTAAAGAGAGATCAATATTGACATTATTGAATTGTCCCTTTATTTAACACCAATTTGACGGAATAACAAATGGAGGACTAAATTGAGCGAAACACAAAAGTCTGGGACGATATTAGGTCACCAAAGTCGTTTAGGACGAAATTGAAAAAAACCACTATATTCGAGGATGATTTTGGGTATTACCCAATTAAATTTTAATACATTCTTATAAGATAGTCCAACTAAATTAATTAGAGCAATTCAATACTTAAATCGTATAAATTTCATCTTAATGGTGCAAACATTTTACAAGAACATTATAAGTCTATTTAATCTAAGCTTTCACTTTAACCATTCAAAATTTATTATTCTTCGCTCCCCAAATGAGCCTTAAATAGGCCAAATGCTAATTGAAAGAGAGATTAAATATGTTACATGAAATTGTGGCAATAGTAACTTTTTGAAAAATTAAAGATAATGGCCTATTTGGTAACATAGTTAGCTTATTAGTTAATTTTAGCCTATTTGACCATTATTAGATGTTTGACTTGGTTAACAATAGTTATGCTGTGCAACCGAATGTACCATGCGCATGGTGCATACGGTTCAAAACGGCGTCGTTTTGATTAAAAACGCGCGTCCCACTTTAAAAAAAAAAAAATCAGGTTCGACTCTCAGCAATAACATTATTGTGGATATATAGTTATGAAATTGTGGATATATAGTTATGAAATTGTGGTTATATAGTTATAAATTTATGGATATTTAGTTCATTCATTGTGGATATTTAGTTCATTCATTGTGGATTTTTACTTCATTCATTCATTCATTGTGGATTTTTACTTCATTCATTCACTGTGGATATATAGTTATGAAATTGTGGATATATAGTTATGAAATTGTGGTTATATAGTTATGAATTTATGGATATTTAGTTCATTCATTGTGGATATTTAGTTCAATTATATATTGTGGATATTTAGTTCATTCATTGTGGATTTTTACTTCATCCATTCATTCATTGTGGATTTTTACTTCATTCATTCACTGTGGATATATAGTTATGAAATTGTGGATATATAGTTATGAAATTGTGGTTATATAGTTATGAATTTCTGGATATATAAAAATGCTATTGCCGGGAATCGAACCTGATTTCTTCTTTAAGTGGGACGCGCGTTTTTTTAACCAAAACAGCGCCGTTTTGCAACCGTATGCACCTTGTAAGGTGCATTCGGTTGCACAGCATAATTTGCGCTTGGTTAAACAGCCTATATGAGTGTTTGATTAATTAACTTTTTTATAACAACTTATTGCTCTAAAACGCTAGAATTCAAAAAATTGCTAAAAGCAACTTTTTCGATCAATTTTTTGAAAAAATATAATTATTTTGCATATAATCAGCTAATTTACGAAACATCTTCTACAATATGCTAATGCTATCAACTAGTCAAACCCACTGATGAATCAACTAATAACTATCATCTAACAACTATTTACTAAACACCCCCATTATTTATTTATTTTATGAAAATTTAAGCACTTAATCTTAGTGTTCCAATGAAAATAATTGTTGGTCCAATGTTGTAATAACATCGCTTGGTATTGTGTGTTTCGTATGTTACTGAAGTGTGACAATTATTGAAGCGTAATGGAGCAACACGGAGCACAACAAGCGAAAAGGTAGACAAATAATTTTATAAATATATCATATATTAGAATTATATACACTTCTAAATCACATAAATCTTGTAATATTTTTCATTTTTGTCTTTATTCTTGATTTCTTCGTTATTCTCAACACATAGATTAAATACAATGCATTTCCATATCAATCAAAATTAAAATTTTATTTCCAACATAATTGAAAATGGCTTATCAAATAGTGGCTATGGTTCCCTATAGCATTCAACATTATTATAGCAAATGGACATGTACCACATGAAACTGTCTAAGATAGGTAACAATAATCAAATAATAAAATGAGTAACATATATCAATTTATATAATAAAATTAAGTTATGTGACATTTGCATATGCACATTGACACAATTGTTGAATTAAATATTTCGGAAATGTTCATTTGTATTTGTATTATATCTTCATTAATTATTGAACAAGTTCTTATATACAACATTTAATTCTAATTATATGTTTATAAGATTTTGTTGACTTTGCGAGTGTTTGCATTCAATCGAAATGAAATATCATGTAACATATTCACGCTTTAAATTTATTCTTTTTTTTTTTTTGAATGCGCTTTAAATTTATTCAATTAGTATCTGATCTATTATAAATTTATAATAACGTTTTCGTTAACGATGTTTAATATTTTTAAGTTAATAGAATTTGATAGTCAAGTACAATTACATATTATAAAGTCTCTTTTTTTTTTTTTTTTAAGTGATCAAGAAAATTTATAGCTTTGTATTTAAAGGTGTGCACCGATTAAACTATACTCCTAATCAATGTTGCAGAAGGAGGCGTCCGAGGGCACCTAACGCCTAAGGTCGAGTATATCGTCTCTATTATTCCCATTCAAACCTGTGAATTGTTAGACTATTATAATTCCACAAACTAATGAACTACATATGTTAGATAGTTAGTTGAGTACATGACTGGAGGAATATAGAAGAGGAACAACCGAGCAGACAAAATTACCACTCAGGCGAGTTGGGCGACGACTCAACCTAGTTGGACGCCAACTAGGTAGAGTTAGACGCCCAACTCAGCACCTAAGGTGCTTAATCGACCGATTAGTCGATCAATCAACTAAAATTTGCCTAAGACTGGAGGCGCTTAGGCAAACGCTTAGATTGATTTTTATAACCTTGCTCCTAATATGATTCTTTAAACACCTTATTTAAAGACTTCCAAATTAAATACAAAGAGTGGGCTCTCACCATCTTGTTGGTGATAGGATAGCAGATCAGATTTCTTGGTTGGTGTTTCAAGATGGGGATATAAGTCAAATAAATTTTTCCCTTTTAGTTTGTAATAGATAAATGTATGGATATAGTTATGGGCCCCAGCATATCCTTTGGATAATCAGGGCCCACAAGAATTCCACTTCGGCCATGTTAACTAAAGTCTTGATAGTCACCTAAAATGTGTCTGTTAAAGAATAGGCCCACTAAGCCCAACTATTTTCTGCTACTAGCTAATATTTTGGGCTATTGCACTACAAGGCCCATCATAAAAGTGTATAAATGTATAATATGAATATTAAAAATGAGCAAAATAAATTTTATTAAGTGTAAATTATTTTGTTAAAGTTGGACAATAAAAACTATGAAAGTATAATATATAAGCATTCATCCCATTGAGACTTAGAAAACAAAAATGCAAAATGAATTTCAATGCGCTTTAATATAGACATTGTACACTTTTGGGGAAATG